ATCCATAGGTGGCAGAGACTTTTCATTCCGAGCACCTGTCCTTTGGAATCGTCTTTCATTTCAGATCTGCAAAGATATTTCCGTTGACTCCTTTAAAAGTACTCTCAAAACCCATCTCTTCGCATCTGTCTTCCTTGTCAACTAATTTCCATCACCTAGTTTCCATCTACATTAGCTTCACTTCAGTCACATGCGTTTATCACATGGCAATACTTATGTTGTTGTATAATAATTGTTATGCTATGATGTTTTTATTTAGTTTTTGTCTTTGCTTTTGTTTGCTTTGTACAGCCCTTTGAGGCATTTCTTGTGATTTGGGGCTATAAAAGTTAATCAAATGTTTTAAATAAAAAGCACATATGGACAGAAGGTGTAAACCTATTAAATGTATTAAACACATTTAGTCAAATAAAGTGACCGACTAGGCCTGTGCAGTTGGTATCAGCTTTGCCCAGCATGGGCTCCTTCATCAGCCCTGGTCCTCCTCGCAGAGGAAAGACCCTCAGTCCTCTCCAAACCAACAGACAGGATGTCCATCACACGGAGGTTTCTCCCTGAAGTCTCTGCTGCTCTCTGGACACCAGACTGTCTCAATCCGTCCACACTGAATATGAGATTGGGAAAATGAAAATAATAAATGCTTTAGACAATAAGAAACATAAAGTTGACTGTTGAGTTGCTCAGTTTTTTTAGATTGTCAATAATATTACTGTATAACTAATATCTCAGGTTAAGAGGCAAATTCAAATAAAGATTGGTCTTTAAATACATTTTGTCTTTTGAATTGTTTGTCTAAAGTCAAGGATCTATAACTGGTACTTAGTTTTAATGATAGTCTGGTTATTATGCTGTTTGGAGGAGGCCTCACAGGTAAGAGCGCTAACTAGCTACCATCACATGTACCTTAGCTTGACTTAAATGTATTAAACGTATAGTTAAGTCAAAATATAAATAACTAATGTCATGCAAACATATTAATATTTGCTTGATTCCAGTGTTGAATTTAGCACAATTGCATACAAACGTTAAGGGGTTTTAAGATTCTGAAGTATTATGTTAAAACTCAATAACTTAGATTATTATTTATAGTTTTGCTGAATAATTTCATGTCCGCCTCACTTATTAACGTAAAATGCGACGGCAGCGTGCAGATGGGGAGCATGTTAGCTTAGCTTGGTAGCTTCAGCTAGCTCTGGAACTTCCTGCTCGGTGGCAGCAGGTCCCGCCTCGGCTCCGCCTCTTTGCCCTTATTTGGAGAAGGCGGGAGTTGAACTCTGACGTCACTGTCGAGCCGTTAGTGGCCGACTCCGCCTACTAAGGGCTTCACGGCAACTCTGCAGAATCCTATGGGTGACGTCACGGACCCTACGTCCATTTATATATACAGTCTATGGCAGGCATCCTCAAACTACGGACTCCGGTCCGGATCCGGACCGAACCACCACTGTCTCCGGACTCCGAGCAAATTATACTTTTCATATGTATTATCTCTCTGTATTATATGTGAGACATCGCCACAACTTATTCGCAACGAGTCAAAATGCTCCGCTATGTCCACTGCAAACAGCGCTCTGCATGTCTGACTGTTCCACTGTGTTCCACCTGTGTGTGTCAACGCTTTGGTCCAATCACATTCAGCATCCAGTCAGCGTTTTTTCCCCCCAAACAATCTGCGAATCAGAGGCACAGTAGGGCGGGTCTTCGCGGAATGTGGGTGGGAAAAATGTGTGTGTCTCTTTCAACCTGTCTAAGTCAGAGCGAGAATTAAAAAAAAAAATTCAGAGCGAGAGTTAACAGCTCATCTAGTTCCATCTGTACTGTAGCTAGTAGCCTAGTTTCACCTACCGGGGTGGCAACTGACACCCTAAAAATAGGCCTTGCCACCCCAGCTGCCACCCCAGTTGGCAGCTTTGTTTTGAAAGAAAAGTTGTGGCTCATCGGACATTTATGAGAGAAAGTCTCTAATGTCCGAGTGCAAGTGAATGCAGCACAAGATGCACGTCATGTAACCCCTCCCCCGGTCCTGGCGCGAGCGTGGATATACGATTGGCGGCGATTTCATTTTGAACTGGACGGCGCAAAACGAGAAGCATTCGGACCCAAGCACTGAAGGAATGAGGTATTTGCGGTCTACACTGACAGAGAAGAGCCTGTCAGTTTGGCTGTACTCAGCATTGAATCAAAACGCACTAAAGCTGTTGATCTTAATACGTTTGTGAGGCGTTTCGCTGAACAAGATGGTAATCGCCGCATTCAGCTGTAATAGACATGTCAACTTGATGCTCTGCTCACGGATGAGTATACACAACTATTAAGATGATGACCTTACGTGTGTAAATATATTTTTTTCTTTGAGGGGGTCTGCCCCCAAAAAACTGTTTTAAGTCAGTGCATTTCCTTAGCTGTGGGTGAGTCCACTGACAATGCTCAGTTGCTGGTGTTTGTGAGTTTTTATGATGAGGCAAAGGGGGAGTTTGTTGAAGATGTGTTGGGCCTGACGAACCTCAGTGGACACACAAGGGGGAATACATTTATAAAGCAATAATGGGAATGCTGAATGAAAGAGGGTGCAGCTGCCTTTATTCATAACTGTGCAGCTCTTACACTGCGACTCTGAGGGGTCAAGCACAGACACAACAACAATGAAAACTGCTGCATACAGATTATTTTTGTTTTTGCAACCTCGTGTTAAGAATCTTGTTGCAATTGTTTAAAAGTTTGAATGACCGTAATAAACGGACCTTTGTCTTATTGAAACATTTATTTTGGACCTTTAAGATTTGTATTTGAGTACCCCTGGTCTATGGTCACAGTTTATAGCCAAGTTTAGCCTCTCGGCGACTCAAACGTAACTGGGGATTGAGCCGCCACAAACTATAAAGCCCAACACACACGCACATGTACATCATGTGTATGCTCAGAAGCTCTGAGAGTGCCAATGCCAGATATTAATTCAACACCTGTGTAAACCAGGATGGTAATTCAATTCGCTAATTTATTCAATCCATATTTAATTTATTATTTGACAGGGGACCTGTCTGGATTCATTAACTGTGTGCTTCCTAAGCTACCATCTAAGATCTAAAAGAATATTGTAAGTTGCTAAACAAGAAATTATACATTGAGTTATGATACATCCTTATTTAAAAGATTGGGCTCCGATGAAGAATAGTGGATAGATCATGGAACCAGATTTTAGGCCGTGAGTTCCCATAGACATAATGACATATCAATACATTTCTTGTCTATAGGTACAATGGAAACGACAGCTAGCTGCTTGCCAGTTAAACATATTTATTATTTACCCCCAACACAGTATGCCAAAAAGTTTCCAGAAAGATGATAAACAATTTATTGTTTAAGTATTAGTTTCCAATTCATTAGTATTACTAGCTGTCAAGTCTTTTAGAAACTCCAGAGAGGGAAACTGGACTTTAGGAAACATTTTCAAAATAGGTCCAGGTGCCAAATGGTATAAATGTAACGTGGCTTTGCTTACAGCTAAGAGTGAATAAAGGCTGAGCTTTACTTGCTCAGAGGCTGTATCATTTCATTAGGTTGGGCCCTTTCATTATTTAGTATACTCTTGTATATGCATTTAAACCAGTGGGATCATATATAATACACAGTCGAGTAGGTATTATGTATAACCTGGGTATAAAAAAGGAGATACTTAAGAACCGCCATCACCTACTGTGTTGTATTATTCATCTTTCATGGAACAATGCTTTGGATTTAGACCCCCTCTGCTGGCTGCACATACTTATTACAAACACACTATTTACCAGACAAATTCATATAAGTTAAGAGAATGACATAAATGGCATCAATTTACAGTATAATATATAATATATACATAAGTACTGCCTTTTTTGTCAGCTGTAGACTACTTTCTTTTTGGTAGGTGTCTACTCAGTTTAGGCTGGACAGTGTTAGCAATATGACACCTTCTCTATTATCTCTTGATAACAACGTTTTTGAAATAGCAAACCCACTAACTGAATGATGCTATTTATCTGATCAAATCAATGTTAGCAAATTATTGCAGTCCCACCTTGCAGAGTTACCCTGAGTTTCCTTTATACATTCATCACTGTCACCTCCTTATCAATATGCACACTGAGATCCCACAAGAAGTTTCAAGGGTATGTCAACCTTTGTTCCTTAGGGTTGGACAACTGAGCTTTACAGGATATTGTCTGCAGCATGACCACACATTAACCTTCTGAATTTAATTACTCTATGGACTAGTCTGGCTTTCTGTCTTAGTCATTATAATCTTCCAATTTACAATGGTTTGAACTATTAACACATGGGGCTTATGAGTTGGAACCCCAGTGGCGTAATAACAGTGATATCTCTTGATAACAACGTTTTTACACATTGAAATATGGATTTATTTTTCTAATTATCTGCTAGAGTCATGAGAATTAAACCTACATGAGCTGTTAGGTTCACATTAACACAGTATTGAGCTTTATTTGGGCAACTGTGGCTGCAAGGGAGTGCGGTCGTTTTCAAACAGAAGGTTGTGGGTTCAATCCTATGGTTAATTCCCCGGCAGTGCAGTCAACATGTCGATGGATCCTTGGCAAGATACTTAACCCTGAGTTGCTCCCGAATGAGGTGTGAATGGGTGATTTACTCGTAGTGTTTAAAGCGCTTTAAGGGGTTGAAAACACCTGATAAAGCACTATATAAGGACACTCCATTTATTTATCTGATTGTATGAGGTAATTTATAATTTTCCATTTAATCTTTTAACAACATCCAATTTTTGTTTGGCAGACTTTGGCACTAGACTTCAGTAATTTGCAGTTCCCCTTTCTTATTCAGTATACTCTTCAAAATTAGCTACGGTTCATAAATCAAATGTATAATAATATAGCCTCTATTAGTTTAAAGTAATCTTAAAAAGTCAAAGTGAATTCAAAAGACTTGTATCACAGATGGATGGAACTGGTACAATACATTTTCTTAAAAAGACAATTGATACAACATTTAGGATGTCAATATTGTTTTATTTAATATTTGTTCCTATTTTTCTGCAGTGCTCATAGAGCTAGTAAAAAAGCTTTTGTCCCACAAACAACACATACATATTTGATAAATAAATAGATTCACAAGTTATTGATCCCAGTTACCCACACATTCATTGCTTCCTATGTTCATTAGGAATACATAGTGAACAATCAAAAAAGCAACATTTCCTTACATACACATTTTGTGGAAAGAGCCTCGCCAGAGACTGAAAAAGAAACAGAAAACTTGATCTGGTGAAGGCAAATCGTATCCATGATTGCAAATGAAAGCAATATCCTTGAGCATAATTATTATCCTGTAAGCGAGATGTTTGGAAAATGATTATTTTCATTAGTTTTAACTCTCTCCAGTATTTATCTTCATTTGATGTGTTTCTGGAGGCTATAGTGGACGCTCAGCTTCACTGCTGGTATATATTTGTTTTATCTTCATTATATACGTACAGTATGGGTTCAGTCAGATTCATTAATGCATACACATGTAGAAACCTGGAGAGAATTAAATGTAGTTCAACAGGAAGCCACTTAAAGCTGCAACCTGTGGCCTATTTCAAATCATACTTTTAAAATAACGCCTGTAGCAACAGTATGATGCATCCTTCCCCTGACACAGACTTAAACTAAAATTAAGCTTATGTTACAAAGATCAGAGACAATACAAAAGTGAAGAACCAACCAAAGCGAAAAGGTGCTCTTGTATTGCTTAACATACCCATATGACCTTCAGACCTTCGTGTTGTAAAGAAGCATCAGGGAAAGAGATCAACCAAACTTCCTGTGTTTCTTTAGCAAGTAACAATATGGCATTTATAGGAGAAATATAATTTCACAGGTAAGTCTTTTTTTGGTTCCAGTGTTACAATTTAGGATTCCAGTTTTACAGGAACCCCACTGGAATTTGACACATTTCAGAACCACTGTGCACTAAAGATGCACATTCACACGGAAAATGTTTGTTACGTTCACAGAAGTTCAGCTTCATCATCATCATTCTCAGAGCCTGAGGGTCCCTGGCGAACTTCTTCGTACCACTTGTTGGTCAACGTCTTCATCTGGATCCGGCCATGTAACAGGTCCTGTGAGACACACATTACACATACTGTAGAGCCCTTCAGCACAAGATAACTTGGTGAAGCTCTAAAATGTCTGTTTTTCTTCATATTTTGACAGGTATGATTCAACATTAAATACATTTGAGGTATGGACAATTCAAAATATCTCTTCTTGCAAAATGGCATAATTTTGCACTTTTGAAAAATGTAAAACTGAATCTTAAATTACAATTTCTGTAACACAAGGTAACAATATTAAACTAATTACCAATGGTATCCAGTATGTACCCTTCAGCAGAGGTTTGATAATCACCATTTTACAAGTGACTTTTAGACTATAGAAAATGAACTGAGGTGAAGTATATAACTTTGCCTACAGAAAATTACACAAAACTTTTTGTCACCACAATGATGCACAATGCTTTTATAGTGAAAGAGATATAGTAAATGAAATGTGTTTGACCCCACGTTTCAGGAGGGAACCGCTGTAGGTTGTGCGATATGGTCAGAAAATCAGTTTTTTTACATTACAGGAAGGCCTCATCAACAGAAATTGTCACTCAGGATTTTACACCTGCTTTTCCCAGACATTATATTTCAGATGGAGACAGTGACCAGTCAGAAGGTATACATAAGTGCAGGGTGCAAAACATATACTTGCAGTTATGTAATCGTTGACTGCCTTAACAAGGGCCACAAATAGTTAACTAACCCTGTATGGCTTAAAACATTTGAAGTGAACTGAATCATCACCTGTCATAGTCTAAAAAGCCCAAAGACAACAATGAGCTTCATCAAATTGGCAGTTATGTGATTGATATATTGTGAAGCTTTTCTGTTTATGGGATATCAAACAAAAGGACGGAAAGAAAACCAGTATGGGAAAAACTAATGTATGTTTGGGAAAGGGACTTAGAGGATGTCTTTCTCTCTCTCACTTACCTCTTGAGTGAGCCTGCGAGTGAAGAAGGGGTTAAGATATTTAGCATCTAGCCACATAAAGCCCTTCAGATCTTGCCTCTGGTAGATATGCGCCTCGTACTCCTCCTCTGTCAGTTCAGAAAGGTGCTCGGATTCAATGGTATTACCCTGGAGAGAAATAAGGGAGAGAGGGTAAGTCAGATAAATAGAAAAAGATAGAGGGAAGTGAGAGGAGAGTGGCCAACAAATGAGGTAGGGTTAAAAGAGATGGAGGAGAGGAAGTCCACTGCAGGGGAAAGTCAAAAGGACAGAGAAGTGGTGAGGGTGATGGAGTTGAGATCACACACTGAAGGACCAGAGATGAGGGGGGAAGAGCAGAGGGAGCAAAGAGAGCGAATTACATCAAAGAGGGATAGAGAGCCGAAAGGAAAATCAGAGAGCTGATAGATGTAGTTCCTGGTAGCCCGGGAATAACAGTTAGCTTTGGAGGACATCAAATACTGTACATTCTGTAGACACAGGTCACGCAAACACACCACCAATTACCTCCAATACAAGATGCACTTTAGAAGAGACCTTATGTCAAGAGTTAGAGCCTATAGAGCCAAATATAATACACAAAATTGTACAGTTCTTCTGGGAAATTGTAATGAGAGCTGTTAGAGCTTAATGATGCTTGTCTGAGTTGTGCTGCGACTAAGTGTAAAACTGTGAGATAAGAGTGGTTTGCTGATTCAGTGTCCTTCTTACAAACCACAATCAACCCTCTGATGTTTTCCCCTTTGAAGAGAACATAAGGGACTGGTTGTGGAAGAGGGAATGGCCGAACTGGTATCAAAGCAGGCAACAAACAGACTGTTATAGTGAAACATATGTCTTTCAGCTTTTACCATTTTCTTTGTCTTGCTGAGATTGATGTCTTTCTTGTTTTTACGCCGCGACTTGCTTTCCTCGATGTCCATGATGCGAATGAGTGGCATGGTCCCTCCCCCCATGAGGAGGATGGTGAAGAGAACAATGATGATGGTGGTGGTGCCAATAAGCTGCCGTTTCTCAATTGGCTCCAGGCCCAAATGGAGGCTCAAGGCGTAAGGGATGGCACCTCGCAAACCTGCCAGACCAGGAAAGAGACGAAAGAACGGGACTATGAGAAGACATACTTGACAGTAAATCATTTTGTAAATATATCTGGACAATAGTATGATGGACATGTTTTAATCATCTATTTATTTTATAGAAAATGTTAAAAGCTTTATTGATTGACTGATTCTTACCTCTAATGATTGATTGATTCATTTGTCCATATAATCAGGGGTGCACATAACTGGTACGCAGGTACGCATGCGTGGCAAAAATCTGAATTGCGTAACGTCACTTGTGTCATTACGTGCCTTTGCGTACCTCAAAACAAAAACACATATTTAGTCTACACGTGTTTCTTGTCAACACTCAATGGAGTAAACTACGAGACATGTCAAAAAAACCCAAATACATTAAGCAGCTACGTTGCCGTTTCGCTCCCTGCAAAAACTCTTCGGACTTTCTGTGACTAACTGAACTGGGTGCTGGCCGAGCCGCGCAGGACATAACCGACGGACCTGTGAAGCTCAACAGGAGGCAGAGGCTCCGGGCTACAGAGTTGGTCGCCGTGTGCACAGACAGAATTGTGCCAAAACTCCGCCAACTGGCTGCAGTGGGAGACTCCCCTGAGCACATTCTGTGCCCCGCACACACACTGGAGAACTGCGCAAAATCAGCTGATCACAACGTTCACGCTCTGTGATCAAACTGCTGCAGTTTTATTTACAATCCAAACATTTTTCCCTGAAGGCCACATACAGAAAAACATTAGAAGGGCTGGGAGAGAGGATGTATATCAATCTTGTTATGCAAATACGTTATTGGGCTTTTTTTTTATCAACTAAGATTAGTTGGAAACCTTTTTCAACTTTAATTGACTGAATTAATTTGAAAATCTGGCATATTAATACTTGAATACTGTGCAATATATATGTACATATTTAAGAATATAAAACAAGCACAAGTTTCATGTTTGCGTAAAATACTTTAGACATTTTGTAGGCCAATTAAAAATGGACCACAGGCTGCAGTTGGCCCCCGGCCGTAGTTTGGACACCCCTGCTCTAGAGACATGCACAATATATTAGGGCAGTGATCAAAGCTTAGACAAAACTAACAAAGAGCTGAATGTTGGTTGTTTTTGTGACATGTTAGACAAAAGGCTCATCTCACCACTAAACCACATGATGAACATCATTTTGGGAGTGATCTTGTGATCTCTGAAGAAGTTGAGCAGGAATGACAGGGGGAAGATGTTTATTGCTCGGCCTAGAAGAACCAGGACCTAGAGAGAGAACAAGAGCTGTCACTGACATTCATGGGGATCATCACCAGGAACAAAACAACATTCAAATAATGTTTCAAAACGAAAGGGCACTTACTATGCACCAGACGACGAAGGATATTTCAAAGTTATGAGGGAAGCTGAAGATGGAGAGACCGAGGAAGGCAAACACACACGTTTCTGGAAAGAGAAAACATGTAACATAGTGGTGAGTTTTTATTGTAAAATGAAAACAAAGGGGAAGGTGGGGAAAAGGGTTTATTCCCATTCGGCCCTTTCCCATTCTGCCCCTTTCCCATTCTGCCCCCCGTCCCATGCAGCCCAACAACAGCCTCTGATTCGTCAACAGACTTCATGCAATGCTTCATGGGATGCCTCATTAGATCTATAAACTCTAACCATAACTCTAACCCTAAGACCCACGACCAAGCAAAACAAGTATAATTTCTTATGTGGCCTAATGTAAAAAAGGGGCAAAGTAGGAAAGGGGCGAAGTGGCAATGGGGCGAATTGGGAAGGGGGCGAAATGGGAAGACACCGGGGAAAAGACTAAATTCACTGACCACACATGAAGGCCATTGTGCGCAGTGTCTGCTGCATGAGGATCTGGGTGACCGGAGACAAGTTGTGATGGGTGTAGTGAGACATCACGATTCCCGCAAACAGGATGGACATTATTCCTGGAGGTGGAGTGAAAGAAAGAAATTTAAAATAGTTGGATAAAGTCAAATATAAGAATATCTAGCATGCATGAAGGAATATGATACACCCACCAGACAGTTTGATGCCTTCTGCCAGTCCATAGGGAAGGTACGCAAAGATTATCATCATACCAAACTCCAGTGAAGGAGTCTTCCTCAAATCGAAGTGTTTTAGAAACTAATCAGTAAGTTAAGGAATTTAAACAACATGAAAACAGACAGAATTTAACACATTACATAAATAGACTAAAGGAGTCAGGATACAATAGCCGAGATGAGTCCAGTGAGGGTTCCCAGAGCAGCAGAACCAAAAAACATTTTGAGGAAATAACCCAACGCTTGTAAGAAAGTCTCCCAGCCTGTTACTGTGGAGTTGTCTGAGCCGGAAAAAAATCCCTCCGCCGTGCTGAAAGACAAAAGAGAGGAAAACAAATCAAGCCACAATATCAGTTACAAATCCTGAGTTGTGATACCTTTATCTGACCCTAGAGGGCGGAACAACTCCACAATTGAATACTACAAACTCACAACTCAGAGATTGTGTGTGCATCAGAGTTTCTGCAGAATGTGTAATCCTTTATCAAAATTCTGTTTGGTAAACAGAGGTCAGCTGTATTGTATCAGCTCAGTGAATCAACAGGAAGAGTGACAGGAAGGAACTTATTGTGACATTTGGCGATATAAAATTCCATCTGAGCCACAGTAATTTGTTTTTAGAACGTTAAACATACATTTTCAAGGGTAAGGTGACTTTAAGCAACATGTAGACACATTAATGCCCAACAATAACTTAACATCTTTAATATGTTTCTTAGCAGTTAAAGCTGTCTTTCAAGTTTATTCTTTGCACTCTAACGTAATTGGGTGGAAATGATTTATCAGCATGTTTTCATCCTAAAAGAAAAACATAATGGATGTGTTGAAGTTATTCTGCAGTAGGAATGCAGACAATCAATTTAATTATACAGTACAATCATTTTCTAATATAATTTATACAGACAAACAAACAGGCAACACGATAATCTGATTTTAATGCTTATTAACAAGCTCTCAAACAAAGGCATTAGTTGCGTGGCTCCTATAAACGACTAGGGCAAACTGTTAAGTAGCTTTTAATAAAACCAGCCTGTGAGGTGCTAACAACAAGCAAACTGCCAGGGCTATGCGGCCTTTCCATTATTCATGTATCATTTACAACATGCGGGAATACAGACACTTGAGATCACTTTGCACATTTAGCCGATTGTGAGTAGGGTAGATAAGGCGAGTGAGGTATAGTGAGTACAGAGTGAGCAGATAGGATCGCAGTGATGTAGACAAACAAGAGAGTGCTGCCAACTGTCTGTTACTGTCAAACTTGTCTGACAAGATTTAGGCCCCGGCCACACGAGGACGATAACGGTTGTTTCCATTACCGTTCTGTGTCATATAGACCATTCGGCCACACTAGGACGACAGAATATGGCACTAAACGACTACGGTAACGGGTCCCAAGGTGGATAGACCGGCATACGCAACGCTCTGGGGGGTCCAACGGCTCCGTGTGTACGCCCTATACGATCATTTTCTGATAATGATGAGGCAATAGCCCCGCCTCTCCCAACCTCTGCTCCCCCCGCGTCAAAGTAAACTGCACACTGAATTCAGATTATTTATCTTTCCCTCGATATGGACCTAAACGCGAGTGAAGCCTAATCTGACAGGACGGAGACACGCAGCTCTGCTCACCTGCAGCTCCTCCCGTTGTGATGCAGCAGTGAACGGAGCAAAACACACACTTCAAGTCAGATCATCACCCTTAGCTATTTTAATTACCTCTCAAACTACCTAAACTAGTTATAAATATGTTTATTTTTACTGTCGGGCGGGTCACTGACTGGATCAGCTGCTGCATGAAACAGACACTGACACTGTCAGAAGAGAGGGAGGAAAAAGAGAGGCTCCGTGTATTTTATTATTATATTATATAGTCGTTATTCATTTGTTTTAAAGCTCAATAAATAACAAAGAAGACCTTTGACCGGCACTTTTATAATTTTGTCCGGAAGATTTAAACTTTAATACACGTTGACTGGCGAAAAACTCTGCCCGGTTCCCTCGGCCCCCACCGCGGAGAATAAACAGAAGTGCAACCATGACAACCATGCTTCTTCGCTGCTTTTGTTGAGGAAGTTACAGCGCCACGTACAGGCTCGGCATATGTACTGCAGCTTCTCCAGCGGTTGGAGCTAAACGGAGCGGTCTCGTGTGGACAGAAACTTTCCGGTGTCTATTGCGTGTGGACGGAAGCCTTTTTTGCGATTGCATTTGCGTATGCGTTTTACCGTTATCGTCCTCGTGTGGCCGGGGCCATAGAGGGTTGTCGATTGCGACCCCTATTTTGTTGACACGAACAATCTTTATAAACAATTCTGAGAGAGTAGGTCACTAAATTGCCTCCTATAATGACCGAAAGTTTCCTAACACTAAACATACGGGCAGCAAAGGGACATTTACTTTTCATTCCTGCAGGCTTCCTTACTGATTGCACTGCAGGTGTGTGTTCCAAGATGGCAGCACGTTGATTTGTTTCTGTCACGGGGTACTTCTCTATAGGCGCGTTCACACCGCAGTACTTTTCCCACTTTAGTTCCGATATAGTTCCCAAATGTTGCGTTCACACCAAAAAAATCCGGAACTAAAATTAGTTAATGAGAACCTTTTTACCCCCTTTTCCGTCCCTGCTAGAGAGCAGGGACTTTCGTAGGAGAAAAAGGTTCCTATTTCTGATGGGCTGGGCGGATTGCAAACCACGCCCCGTAAAACTCCCAAAAACTTTTGTGAAGCCGCCATTTTATTATCCTTGCATTAGCATTATTAGCATTAGCCCAGCGCACAAACGCAGAGAGAATAACTTATGGCAAACTTCAGGGAACTTATTCCGGTGTGAACGTGATCTGTACTTAGTTCATGAGAACTAAAGAGTTCTCATGAACTAAGTTCTGATTAACCTTTGTGGGAAAAGTACTGCGGTGTGAAAGCGCCTAATGTCGAGTAAAGCTGGTCCAGAGCCACTAGTTCAAGCATACTACGTCATCGATTGACTTCTGTCAAATTAAGCCATGACAGAAGTCATTTTACTATGCTTAGGAATAAAGTTTTAAAGAAATTAAGGAAAGCTAAGGCAGATTTATTTTTAACTATAATAGACAAGGCAGGAGGTTTGAAACTGATCTGGGACCAGTTAAAAACATTAACTGGTAATCAACATAGGGAAAGAAAACAGTTTGAACTTAAAGTAAATGGTAAGCTTATAAACACTCCAGGCGATGTAGCTGAAGTTTTAAATCAGTATTTTATTGATTCTGTTGCTAACATTGCACAGTGTTTTTCTCCTGACTGCACAAGTAATTGTCAAATTGATACAATGGAGCCAGCTTTCAGCTTAAGAAACACAACTGAAGCAGAAGTTAAAATAGTAATTAAATCCCTTAAACCATCTAAAGCAAAGGATATATTTGGTATGGATGCAGTTATGCTCAAAGACCTCAGTACAACTCTTTCTCATCCTATTGCCAATATCATCAACCTCTCTTTCTGAATGTTTCCAAATGTTTGGAAGCCGGCTGTAGTTATTCCAATCATTAAAGGTGGAGAGACCCAATGTCTACCAATAACTACAGGCCAATTAGTACCCTTCCTAGAGTATCAAAAGTTATTGAAAAACTTGTAGCTGAACAAATTATTAACCATCTGAATAACAGTGTTTTTTCTCTGCATCCAATGCAATTTGGCTTTAGGGCCAAATATTCTACAGAAACAGCCAACTGTTTTTTCACAGAACAAATAAAATCCAAAATGGATAAAGGTGGTGTTGTAGGAGCAGTGTTTCTCTTGACTTAAAGAAGGCCTTTGACACTGTTAATCACAAAAAACTCATATCTAAGCTATCCAGCATTAACTTCTCCACACAAACACTTAAATGGATAGAATCATATTCGTTCAACCGTTCTCAGTATGTCAGAGTACAGAATAATCAATCATCTAACCTCCAGGTGTCCCACAAGGGTCAATTCTGGGTCCATTGTTATTTTCATTGTATATAAACAACTTACCATCGATATGTCCTGACACAAACATCAAAATGTGTTCTGATGATACTGTAATTTATGTTCGAACAAGATGGTTAATGTAACAGCTTGGTTGGAGCAATGCTGTCTGCAACTAAATGTCAGTAAAACTGTATGTTTGTTATTCACCAAAACCAAGTCCTCCTGCGTTGAGCCAGATGTGTTTGTGTCCGGGGAGAGGCTACAGGTGGTCTCACAGTACAAATACCTGGGGGTCTTAATTGATTCAAGACTACATTTTAAGGCTCAGGTGAAAAAGGTCTGCAACAGGGTCAAATTCAGTCTGTCAAATTTGAGGTTTACCAGAGACTGCATGTCAACAGAGGCGGGCGGCTCTGATGTACATGCACTCTATGGTTCTATCTCACATCACCTACTGCTTAACAACCTGGTCACATGCCTGTACAACCACTCTTAAACCCCTGGAATCATTATACAAACAAACATTTAAAACAGTAGATAAGAAATCAGTTTATTCTCATCATTGCCCAATACTCAAAAAATCTAACTTGTTGAGCTGGGAAAATGTAATGAGATATGCAAATGCTTGCCTCATGTACAAAATAATACAGGGCCTTACCTCACCTCTGCTAAGACATTTTATCACCATACGCACACCTGTAACTAGGTCAACAAGAGCTGCAACAAGAGGAGACTGCGTTGTTCCATTAAGGAAGAGTTCATTCAGACAATCTTCTTTTTCTTTTAAAGCTGCACAACAGTGGAACTAAATCCCAGTAAAGATTAGAGAACAAAACACCTGCAGTTCATTCAAATCTAACTTAAAAACATGGTTAGTGGAAAATCAGCTCTGTCAACACTGACACAATCTGCACTTTACAACGCTCTGTTTGTACATGTGCCTTGACCTGTTGCTATCTGTCTGCTTTGTGAATATGTATTTTAGTTTTGTTTTTATATATGCTTTTATCATAATATAAGCATCTATGTTGAATGTTGTTTTACTGATTGTATTTACCTGTCATTTGAAGTGAATTTTTTTTCAAGTTGTTTTGCAACATCGCCACCTAGCGAATTGGATGACCGCAAAAGTACAACCAGCGAGTATTGAGTCTCATACACAGCGAGTCACTTTAGATATTGTAATGCTTGTTATTAACGATCTAAAAATGCATGAAATTGTGTTTTTCTTACAGAAATTAAATTATTATTAACAACTATTTGTTGTTAATGTTTGTTTTAGTTTTTTTTAATAACAAATGTATTTTGTATGTCAGATGTAAAAAGATAGTCTTTTATATTTGTCTTATCAAATTTGAAATAGGCCTACAACGTA